AATGAAATGTATTGTTGATGGCTGATGAGTATAAGAACTCCATGCACTGGAGTGGAAACAACTAGCAAAGGCATGTGCCAATTATATCAAAACTGGTAAAGAGTACCTGTCTGCTAACCTTCCTGGGTATCATGTGAGAGCAAAACTGATGTAACTGATAATAAATATGCATAAAGATGCAGTAGTTTCGATCTGAAGTCATAAAATATATCTATGAAACATTTAAAACTTCACAGCAATCATGTCAAGGGCTTCTTTCATTGTCAAGTGATCATAATTTTCTTGCTGAAACTGCAGTTTAATGCACTTGCTGACCTTGTGACCTTTACCTTGAAAATATTTGTCCAGTCATTTGCCACTCAAGATTTTCCTTACTCAAGCCAGGGGGGCTTCTATGAGTAGATCGAATCTGCCACAAATATGCCATTCTGAATAAGAGGGGTTTGTAAGAGTAATTGGAAGAGCATCGATTAGGTTACAGGTATAATCCTTGTAATGTATACCTTGTTCCATGATGAAAATTCCAAATAGATATTTTCAATAAAATTACCCAATTGAGACCTTTGAAATTACCCAATTTAGACCTCAGAAAAATGTTTTATTCAGTTATCAATAACATTCTCTTATTATTTAATTAAAAATATTTTGAATATTCAAAATCAATCAAAGGTACAGATACAAATCTAGAATCAAAGACACACTTTGCCATTGGTCAATTTCAGAAACTCTGGATTTAAAATAAACCAATAAGATACAATGTTACAGATATCAACACAATTCTGATGGCATTCTCTCATTGGTCAATCAAGAATTATGTCAACCAATAAGATACTGCAATAGGGGTCCAGTACTTATCAACCTTTCATTTTTCTGTCAAGGATTTATGTGTGGTCCGTTCTTTTGTTTGCTTAGTTAACCTGTAAACTAAATAAGACAATTGCAACTCAAAAAGATAAAAACAAGATTACTTTAATTTTGATGAATAGGAAAATCAGAAAATAGATGCAAAACATACATTATGTTACTTGCCTAATGAAGCAGAACCAATTACTTCACAATTATGTGCAGTATATTTTTCCTATCAAAAAAACATTTGACTTCAGTGATCATCATAGTCTATTACCTGAAGCTAAATGTATTTGATAAACTTTAATTATCCTTCAGTTTGATGTATGCAACATGGTATCTTTTTAAGATGGTAAATTAACCTAAATTACATTTGCTATTTGTTTGTGTATAAAAAATTTTTGGGGGAAAATGCTTGTGTTGAAACTTTGCAGCCTTTTTGTAGTTAACGACTAACTGAAACTGCCATGTAGACAAACATGTTATGACTCTGATTTCAATAAATGATCTGGCAATGTTGTAGCTATCATGCCAGTTGTGGTCAAAACAGATGTAGTTCAAGCCATTATATTATCAAATGAAAAAACATGTTATGGTCATCATTTATTTGGATATCCATGATATGCTGTCATTTTAACTATGATTATTACCATGGTCAAAACATTTCTTTTGCTTTGACTATGATGATCCATGATATGGACATGTTCATAACATGGTCATACCACATAGTCCCCAATTTCTGTAATTGCATATTAAGGTCATATCATTGGCAACCATGGTGCAACCATGGTCGGCATTGATATGGATGTGGTCATTTCCGCAGGGGAGTTACAATTGTTTTGCTGTTAATTTTCAAAATGCTGTTACTTATTAACTGCGGATGACATTCATCATTTTTAATTTAAATGAATTGTTATGGTTAATAGTTATAGTTTTCATCATAAAAAAATGAAAATTTGAATGAATTGTGAAACCTACTGATTTGATGTTTTATTTAGTGATATAAATATTTTTAGTTTGAACTTACACTGACCCAGTAAAGGTCAGGATGGGGAGGTTTCCAGTTTTGCTACCCTCATGTGCCTGTTCATGCACAATGGCAGGCAACCTTCATGCACAATGGCAGGCAACCTTCATGCACAATGGCAGGTAACCTTCATGCACAATGGCAGGTAACCTTCATGCATAATGGCAGGCAACCTTCATGCACTATGACAGGCAACCTTCATGCTCAATGGCAGGCAACCTTCATGCTCAATGGCAGGCAACCTTCATTCCCTAATTGGCAGGTAACCTTCATGCACAATGGCAGGTAACCTTCATGCACAATGGCAGGTAACCTTCATGCACAATGGCAGGCAACCTTCATGCACTATGGCAGGCAACCTTCATGCTCAATGGCAGGCAACCTTCATGCACTATGGCAGGCAACCTTCATGCTCAATGGCAGGCAACCTTCATGCACAATGGCAGGCAACCTTCATGCACAATGGCAGGTAACCTTCATGCACAATGGCAGGTAACCTTCATGCACAATGGCAGGCAACCTTCATGCACTATGGCAGTCAACCTTCATGCTCAACGGCAGGCAACCTTCATGCTCAATGGCAGGCAACCTTCATGCTCAATGGCAGGCAACCTTCATGCTCAATGGCAGGCAACCTTCATGCTCAATGGCAGGCAACCTTCATGCTCAATGGCAGGCAACCTTCATGCTCAATATTACTTGCTACCAGTGCAGACCAAGGTCAGCCAGCACATCTCTGCCATCTGATCATAGTCTGCACTGTTTGCTATTCAGTCTGTACATATCTTAAAAATCTCCCTAAAATCATGTATGGTTTTGTCCAGATTCAAAGATGGACAAGTCGATTTAAGATATTTAGGGTGGTAAGGGTTAAGATAGCAACTTAAACTAATTACTGTCTAGGAAGTCACATTTCTGTTTTGTCCCATCTGCATCTAAATAATGTTACACATAATGTATGCCATACTGAAGTAAGTTCATAAAAGTGCTCTGTACATTGTTTGCAGACACTATACGAAAATATTTTTGGAAGCTTCCCAGCAGGCATTCGACGTTGTTTCAACGTTGAAACAACGTTGAAATATGGTCGTGACGTTGTTCAACCAATATTCAACTATGGACGACCATACGGATATATTGCCAATTGATTCAACGTTGTTTATAGTCGAAGTTTTACATTTAGTTTAATCATTATATAAACTTTTATACCACTAATTTTGTGTTATTATTCTTTTAGTGAATTAGTCTGTAAGTGATTTTTGTCAGGAAAATTTGCGTTACAATCTTTTTCCGTATATTCAAAATTAGTGCTTAAACAAATAAAGTTGGAAATAATTTTTCACTTTTTATTAATGCTTTAAATATTAGTTAATATGTTTTGTTGTTTGTTGTTTTATTTTTTAGTTCTTTATGAATAATATCAATTAATAAATTGATATTAGTCCAAACCCCGTTTATAAAATAACGCTGGTCAGGGGAAGTAATTTGAATTTCGAAGGTATAACCGTAATGTTTTACTTTAGTTTACTGATTATTTTCTAAAATATTATTATCTATTCTTAAAATTCTACTTTAATTTACTTTATGAAATAAATGAGAGATGAAAGCACATGATTGAGATGATTTGACACGTTTTCGCGACCTAATTGAATGATTTATGTTCGGTAGGCCTTGTAAGCATGAAGTTATTGATGTCCTTGGCAATTTATGATTTTGCAAATCTTGTCTTTCTTTAATTAATTTAATATTATTAAACATTTGTCTGTACTATACAGTATCCTAATTAGAATTTAATCAATTATAAAATTATAACCTATAAAGTAGTTCGGCCCACATAATTTACGTCCCAAGACGATTCGTCAATATATATAACTATGTTTATATTTTAGTGATAGTATAATACAGTGTTAATTAGTTTGAAAAAAATACATTATTATTAAGTTAAATAACAAATTTGAGTGTTAAACTTTAAACTTTAGTCATAAATTTATGGGGAATAATAAATCTATTTCTATTTTATTATATATTATTTTATATTCTAGATCCTGGTCCTGGCTGAAATTTAGAGTATTGCAGCTGTAGCCTGTATACCATACATTCAACATGAAAAAGACTGTCAGGTTTGTTAAATTGAAATTTTTTCTTATTAATTTTTATATTTGAATTTCTTTACAATACAAACTATAAATTTTTCAACTACTGGATATTTATCTTGTCTTAAAATATATTATTTTCGGAATATTCCTGTAACATTATTAATATAAAATTTACATGTTTGCTGATTTCAGGATGCTGCATAAAAAATGGTCTTAGCTAGAGCCTAGAATGTTAATTTCTTGGGAATATGCTGCAAGGAACTGACGGGGAGCAGGTTTTCTTACCAATCATAGGTGAGACTTTTAAATGGCTTCTTTTTATAAAGATTTTGTTGTCTTATATACAGTATTTGCTGTCAATATGAAACTTAGCTATGTTTCAATTTCTATGCTGTTTTATGATGTAAATCTTAGAGAAAAGCATTTTAAGATAAAACAAATCACTAAGTTGAGTAATTATATGTATAATTTGAGATTGACCAAGTCACTTTTAACTACAAACTTCTTATTTTTATTTGCAGAAGCAGTAAGAGACAGCCAAAGAAGTACTCAAACACTTAACATACCCAGAAAGATCTAGAAGAAAAGATTGCAACAGATTGTAGCTTAATTGTTAAAACTATTAAAGTGAATTTAAGCTGCACTTGAACTGTATTTTTGAAATAAAATATCTGAAATATCTATAATATTGTCTTGATATTTTGTTAAACTTGGTTACTTTGCTTTATATCCAAAAATTAAAGTATGGTGGGTTTTCAACGTTGAAATGACATTGAAACTTCAACGTTGTGCCAACGTTGAAGCTGCAACGTTGTTTCAACGTTGAAATTTCAACGTTGTTTTAACTTTCAAATCCGAATATAAATCCAACCTTATTTCAACGTTGAAATCTGACCATAATTCAACGTTGAAACAACGTTGATGTGCCTGCTGGGTTATGGATCTGAAGCTTCAAGAAAAATGTAAAGATTCAAATATCATATTCAGGAAAACTTTTTTTGTTCAATATTATCTAAGGAACTAGCTCTTACTGTAAGTGTTATGCCCTCAGTAAACTTGAATCTGTTCTTCCCAATCAGCTGCAAACTTCAACGCATTATACCTGGAAATAGAAAAAAAGATTTTACAATAAGTTTATGTATGTTTTTAAAAACTGAAAGATTTATTTACCTATTATCATTTATCAATATGATAATTATTGTTTGATACATAGAAAAATTCAATAACTATAAATAAATTAATCCCAAACCAAAGACCCTTGGTTGGATTGCACTGTAAAATGATCTGAAAAAAAAAAATCATTGAATTCATCTACTGCTATTCTTTCTCCTTCGCTTCCGTAGTCCAGTCTACAATCCGAAATGCTGATAGTACATTCTGCAGTAACACCGTGTGAATGACGAATAATTGCTGACAGGATTCCTAACAAAAAACTTAAAAACCACCAAAAATTAATTAACCAAAATACCACTGTGTTCGGAGCCAGATTAGGCAACCGGAGTAGTGATATAGCTATAAAATGTCCAAGCCTCTCCCTGACTCTGATGTAAAGCTTCTCTCCCACCCAGGTGAGGAATTTTTCGGTTCTAAATAGTCTCTCTTCACCTGACAGTAATTAGTTCTACCTTAACAAACTCAGAGTGATGAAAAACCCTGTTTTCTTTGCAGAAAAACAATTACTTCCATCACTTATAGTGAAAACAAACATATACCATACCATGTCTAGTAAACCATCACCATACCTTCTCTTGTCTAGGAGTTTCCTATTGTTTTAACATGTCATCAATTATAAAGATGCTAGCTAAAATGTATTCTCTGACAAAAATTCTTACATTAGTTGCAGCTTATACCACGGAGAATAATTTATTTATTATTGTCACTTTTTAAGTTTATAGAAAAATGATACTGTGTCATCAACTTTAAGATATACTTAATTAATACTTATTCTAACACGACCCGCATTTTTCCCTTTTGAACATAGAAGAACCGAAAGTGTGTGTATAATTATGCTATGAAGTCACTGTTTGACGTTCTATATTTAGATATGTGACGTAATCATTATACACGTGACGTAACCACTAAAAATGTGACGCGCTGAAAATAAGTACGGAAACAAAACAGGCGCAATTTTACTTAATATCTGGTATGGCAGTATATTTTTCTTGATGTTATGTTAGAATCGAAATAATATATCCAAATCGGTGATTTTATCGCTTGATAACATCACTGTTTGTCTTTCAGATGCGCATCATTATATCACTCGGACTACGCCCTCGTGATATAATTCGTCGCATCCGAACTCCAAACAGTGATGTTATTGAGCGATAAAATAACTGTTTGGGATATATTATTTCTTAAATATAAACAAATATTTTTTTTTTTTTACAAAATCTTTGTTGATACTGATTATAATTTTGAAAAAGATAACTTCCCAATGCCAATCTGAAAGAAATATGTTAATTGTTTCCTTAAAAGCGAATGGCGCATGCACAAAATTGCTAAACAGTTATAAAATTATAAACCTCTTTAAAATAGCAGCATTAAGAGGTTAATACACGGCAGGAGAGGGCCGGAAGGTGATAATCGGCCCGCAAAATGAATAATGGACCCGAGGGCCATTATTCATTCAGGGCCGATTATCACCTTCCGGCCCTACTCTGACGTGTATTAATGTCTTTAATACACTTGGTAGATTTAATAGTAGCATTTTTTTTTATAAAAAAACAACAAAGTTCTTTCGTTGAAATTCTTGTCTACTCTTCTACTGTTCTGTGCAGAGATGTTTACTGTTTGTGTGTTCAAAGCAGTAGAATCTAGAAGCAAGTTTTATTTTCTTTTTTTTTTCGGAATGAATTTGTCGTTTTATTTCTTCAAATTTCAATAGAAACAAAAATGTGTTTGTACAAAGTACGCTTTTAAAAGCTCCCAAAATAAAATCAAGCGATTCGTGCTGATAACCTACAATCACTTTTACATTTTAAAACTATTTGATGACGTAAAATATGACTTCATTGTTTCAGTTTGTGCACGTGCATATGTTCTGCGGGCTGAGTCCCGGGCCGCAAACTCATAATAGGTCACGTGACACTCGTAATCAGTTGAAATCATAGGCAATTTTGTTACTATATATAGTAACAAGTGTATTAATATAATATTCTTTCTCAGAACATCTTTTTCTCTTTTGTACAATATATATTCATGTTTGTTAAATAACAGACTAGCTGACAGTCTATGAAATAACTCTTTCATCGAGAACTTAAACCATAAGATTATGAAAACAATACAGTTTAACTGTTAATTAATACATTTGAGCCGCGCCATGACAAAACCAACGTAATGCGTTTGCGACCAGCATGGATGCAGACCAGCCTGCTCATCCGCGCAGTCTGATCAGGATCCATGCTGTTCGCTTACAAATCCTATAACAAGTAGATAAACTGATAGCGAACGCACTTTGTTGGTTTTGTCATGGCGCACCTAAATTTTTATAAAAACGTTTCATTAGATATAGCTTTAAACCCTTTTAATTAATTTGTTTCTGCATTAAGGACAGGCACAGTCACCAATGTCTTATGTTAATTATAGACACATTATGACTCCGATGTATAAATGTATGACCTGAGAGGGGTGGAGGTGAATACAATTCACACTTATTTAAGATAGCATTCAATTATGCATGCCCATGTAATTGATTAATTTCATTTACTAATAAAAGCAAATTAACCCTCTCTAATCAAGCAGATAAAATCTGAATAAACTTATAGTACAATATGTTCAATATAACCTCATGTACAACAACAACAAGTCAAAAACTTGAATGTGCTTAAGGTATATATTGACAATCAAGGCAGGGGTTTATTGCTAATTTTTCTAAATTTATAATTTCGATAGTAGAGAGAATGAAGAAAACTTTGCCTGTGAATTTGGGAGAGGGGGGGGGGAAGAGGGGGGGCTGGGTTTTTTTGTTTTTTTATCATTAATACAAGAAACTCCAAGATAAACCATTTCCTGATTAGAGATATAAGAACTCAATGAGGTTTCCTTTTATTGAAACACATAAACTACCCATTCATGAAGTTATACAGAAATCTTTATTAGAATAAATACATATTGATCTGTGATATTATTGTTGTTTTCCGTATGCACTGTAACAACTGCTCATGTGGCAATTAATCCCTTATAGAAACTACCGAATGTCCAGAACTACTGCACGAGAATGATATATAACTCTTCAATAAAGACAAGAGCCCCTGCGCTGTCACAGGACTAGAAGTAGCAACTCGTTACCAATATATTATCATTATAGGCAATAATTTGACCAAATAAAGTCTCCTACTTGCAGGGGCGATTCTCCCGTAAATGAGAATTAATGTGCGACAGATTACTTCTCTGCTATTTTCATCTGGCAAGGTTTACGCGATCTAATTGTGTTCCATCGCAAGCGGTCTTGTGGCAGTAGATTAGAGTGAATGCACTTACCAGCCAAATGCTCACAATTATTGGACAGACAACACAAATTGCATGGACAGTAGTTATTTCACATGTAAAATATTAGAGAAATACGCTAATTCGGCGTAATTGTCCCTCGAAGTAAAACATAGCAAGAAATGTATTAATCGCCCTGGACCTTTCCATACAAGATGAATGCTTTTTTCGTCAAATAGAACGGTCACTAAAGGCAACCAAAAGCAATTATCGCTGCATTAAGAGGATTATTGAGTTAGGGGTTATTCAGGGTCACTTGTAGCCGCGTAAATGAATACTCAAAATAATGAAGGATGAAGCGTGATTCATTGCTGAATGTCAAACTTAACAAAATTGTGAGATTCCTGAAAAGGCATAGAAATTCCAGGCAACAATGGTCTAAACGCCCGATGCAGAAAATTTACATTAATTTTGCATACGCCTGCATAATGTTTTTCTTGTTTTCGTAGGGAAATTCCTTTCTTCTCACTTTAACGCCTATTTATGTTTTTCAATCCACAGATTTAATTTTCCTCTACAGATTGGATTGATGATTACAAGGATAGCCACAGGCGTTTTTTGAAAAAAAACTTATTCTATAAATGATTGATAGAACTACCTCATTTTCACTAGGAAATGAGCAATTTCTTTCAAAACAAAGAGGATAAATTATCAACTACAAATTCTTTAACCAACAAAAAAATTTTAATTGTCTGAAATACAATGGGTCTATACCTTGATTTTCTTCAAAGAAAAATGTCCAGAGTGTTTTAGACTCCACACGCAAAATTTACAGCAAATGAGCTTGGATAATACTACGGGAAAGTTTGTAGGAATAATATTTGATAAAAAGCTGTAAAAAATTTATTAAAATTTCTACAAAATGCAACAATTTAGAAAGTTTTCCCTTGTAAATTTGATTCACTTAATGGTCTTTTTTTTCTTTCTTGAAACAATTTAGCCAATTTTGGTCGACCCGCTGGTTAAGACTAAATAGTACTTCGAAACCAAATTAATAATAAATTAATTTTTTATTTTTTTTTCAAAGAAACAGTCATGAAACTGTATCATTTCTATCAGTGATTCAGCCATCTTGTCAATCATGACTAAACAAAATATAAACAATCTTGTAACAGAATCTCGATTCCTTCACACAATCTTTCATTCAGGCCACAAGAACTATTTTATTGATCCTGAAAACTGTTGCCGCTTCTACGTCTACGATAACAGCGGGTGACTCAAAACCCTGTCCGAAAATCCTGACTGACATCGGCACCATTTAGTGTTGTGTTTAACGTGACAGAATAAGATTCTGAGACTGTGTAAAAATCTCGAAAAACCCTTCAATACCCAGACGATGGAAATCATTTAGCTGTCCTTAACAGAACTCTGAAACTCTGCATTAAGATCCTGATTAATTGGATAATTATGGAAAAATCTATACTTGATTTATACAGAGCTACATGCATTCTAATACATAAAACTTAATCACCACAGTCGGTCACGATAGAAAAAAATAATCACACACATATCACGGACAAATCAATGACCAATGACAGGTCATTACATGTCACTTGAGTAGAATCATAGCATGACAAAGTTATAAACAAAATCATCAAAATCTCAAATTCACGGAAA